GCTTAGTTTTTTTTTTTTTTTTTTTTTTTTTTTTTTTTTTTTTTTTTTTAAATGACAGCTGGGTCCCAATGTGCAGCCGACTCTTGCAAACCTAAAGAGCGACATTTTTATTTTCTTATTTTTTTTAGGGACATCTACTTCCAAGAGTCTGCAGGCTGAGGACTCATGAAAATTTGCGAGTTTTCTCAGATGAATCTTTTGGACAGCTCTCCATTAAACCACCAGTACTTGGCCCAGCTATTGATGCCGAGCCTGAATATGCCCTGCGCGCCAAATTCTGCCGAGCTGCCGCCGCGTCGTTTTGACTTTCTTTTGGCTGGCGCCTCCAGCCATTGCGGTCCGGTGGGCCGAAGCCCATCAGTCGCGGCGCGTTAACGGGAAACGCCCGCGGCCGATGTATGGGCCAAGTACTGATGGTTTAATTTTCACGATCTTTTAATCGATAGTAAAGGCATACTCACACTAGGGCGTTTTTACTTTTTTGGGGGGGACATGATTGCGGTCACATACATAGAGGCCGGCCGTACAGGCAGTCAGATACGTTTGAAATATAACTATGCTAGTGCGAGTATGCCCTAAATGGAGCGCAGCATCACTCTCAGAAAAAGCAGTAATGAGGGCATACTCAAACTAGCATTTGCTGCCTGTATCTGACAGTCCAGCCCTGGATGCATCTGGCTGCAATCACGTCCAGAGCTCAGTCAAAGAAATCCCGGTGTATGCCCTGAAGAGTGGCGGAGTAAGGCCCATACTTGTACCCAGACCTCCAAATTCGCAAAATCTATTCCCGCTTTGTGGTCTCGACTTTGCAGATTTGCCCCTCGACCAAGTCAGAGTGGCATGGCATTTTGGATGAGACAAGATCGCAGTGTTCTGCCAAGTTGGTCGAGGGGCAAATCTACCTTGCAATTCTCTAAAATCAACGGCTCGAAGATGCGAGACTTGTGAGATTGTTCAGTTCATATTTCAATTTGGGTTTTTTTGGTACCATATTTGATCTGCCTCGACGTCGATTAGGAATTCCTTGACTCTACAAATACAATGGTATTTTACACTCCTCAAATGCAATGGTATTTTACACCGTGCAAATCTTTGACACTACCTCCAGGATTTCCCGGCCATTTTTTACGGGTACATAATTTCATTATAATTTAAAACACGAATTTGGTCCAAGTATACTAGTATAGGGGTCTGGCCGCAACATTCGTTATGGTGGATGATGGGTTTCAGACCACGCCTGGGGTTGGACTTCATTGTTGTATTTTTATTTCAAAACACTGAGGCTGACGTAGACCTGGCACGGAGGGACTACGTAAACCGACTCCGCCCTCCACGTCTGCAACTCGCCTGACGACGTAGAGGACATGCGCCGCTGTCTGTGCAGATCTGGGAAAAGAGTGGTCGCACTGTGGACAGCCATCACAGACAAGCCCCTACCGACGGACAAACTGATGAGACTAACAAGGTTCATGGTACCGAAAGGGATGGAAAGGTCAGGAGCGCGGACTCTACCTGAGCGTCAAAACATTTGCCCTATGTGGCACAAATATGGAAAAGAAGATGCCAGAGACAATCAAAAAAATGACAGGAGCCGACCCGCAACCCTGAACCAGGTTCAGACACGACCTGGAAACGGGAATATCACACGGATTGAACAAAAAACAAGAGAGATACAGAGAGAGAGAGAGAGAGAGAGAGAGAGAGAGAGAGAGAGAGAGAGAGAGAGAACAACGTGGCTGTGTTGCACCGCGTACATGTACGCGGAGTTGGAGTACGTACTCTGCTCAGAGTACGTACCTGTCTCTTATACACATCTAGATGTGTATAAGAGACAGCATGTACGCGGAGTTGGAGTACGTACTCTGCTCAGAGTACGTACGGAAGTACGTACTCTTTTTTTTTTTTTTTTTTTTTTTTTTTTTTGTTGGGTTTCCGGCATGACTCCCAGGAAGAGGTTGTTTGTTGTATCATTTATATTATTATTACATAACATAATTTTTTTCAGTTTTTTTTTTTTTTGGGGGGGGGGTATGTACGCGTATGCAGGTTTTTTAGCATGTACGTGTACTCCGGAGTACGTACTCGCACCCCCTGCGTATGCGTACAGGGTGCAAAACAGCAACGCGGAAAAGAAAACAGAAATCATAGACAAATCCACCAAGGGCGTATTGGGCTCACGCAAAATAGGGGAAATTAACACAGATCACCTAATTCACTAGGGACGGAATGCCCATAATGGACAAGCAGCAGTCACAGGAACAAGGAGAGAGCTCCTTCCGATGCATATGCCCGCCTCCTGTGGCCTTGGCGCCGCGTGAAGGCACCCAACACCGGAAAGAGAGGAGAGGGAAAGCATGAAGACAGGACTGCACCAAAAACACACGGGTGGCTATGCAAGGGATGGACGAGGCGGGACAACTCCGCTGGCCACACGGAAGGCCGAGCAGCAACATGCCACCATGCAAGGGATGGACGAGACGGGACAAATCCACTGGCCTCCAACAACAACACAGAAGGACATTGATATCGCAGCGACATTGGGCTAAGAAGCGCGACCAGCAGCGTCCTAGGGTTTAGGGTTTTATGAACTTTTATCGGCCAGTCGACCCGGATCGGGCTGAGAGGGAAGGATCTGGTCTGTTTTTGGCACATTTCTTAAGGCGGACTGACGCGGGATGGGGGAAAGCGTGCTGAGCTCAAGCATGGGCACACTGGCAGTCAACCTTACCGTCTTCACCTGAATAGAACGCCCGGTCATTATTGCTGTATCTAGACTGAAAGCTGCCCCGCATACGGCTATAATGACCGGGCGTTTTATTCGTGTGAAGACAGGAGGGAAGCAAGCAACGCTGTCAGGACTTCCCGGGTCGCACCACGGCAAGGCGTCTGTGTGTCCCATGGTAACCATTTCTGACTTGCCGGTGGAATAGGAACCGGACTGATTCACCTCAGAATGGACAAGCAGCCAGAGCCATAAGGCCCCATTTAAAGCCACCGGTGCACAGCCCCAGGCCTTGCAAAACGGAACTCGTCGCCACCACTGAAAATGTCAGGGCCTGGTGGGGCGGGCCAGCCATTGATAAATCCCATCGGAAGCCTGCGAAACGTTACCAGCGCCGCCGAAAGCAGCCCACAGCCAATCTGTGGGTGTACTAGTGGTTATTGGGGGGAGGGGGGAGGGGGGAGGGGACGCAACACCATCTTCAGAAACTGCATGTACATTGTAGACATAAAAAAACAAAAAATATATTTTTTTCTTTTTTTTTGCCTTTTTCTCTTTTTTTTTTTTCTTTCTTGTTTTTTCTTTTTTTTTTAACTCAGCTATGCATGTACACATAACAATTGTCAAGGACGCGTTGTTTTTTTTTTCACTAGTCACCAAATTTGCAAAATGTGCAAAATGTGCAAAAATGCCAAAATGGACCATTTTTCTTCCAGTGGAGCACAGAAAATTCACATCTGCCAAACTTCTGTCTTTCTCAGCTTCAGTTATGCGTGTGGTGAGGCCCTGCAGGTGCAATGACTTGCTGATTTCTGCTGCCGAGACTGACTGCGAGGCTGTACACTAACCGGTAGGGTTAGTTTTGTAATTTTGTTTGGCTGAGGGCTAACCGAGAGACCTGCCTGTTTGGGAATTCGTGAGTGACAGATCTGCAATTCCGGGAAAACACAGGCCCGGTACTAACCGAATTTCTACAGCTACCCTAACTGCCTATCGCAGGCCCGGGCTACCCCTAGGACAGATAGGCCCTGAGCGGCCTATACTGCTATACGGTCCTATAGCCTATAGCCGGGTCCGGTAGAGGCCGAGAGGCCGAAACAGCAACGGTACCGGTAGGTCCAGTCAGTCCGGTCTAGGTCTAGGTTAGAGTAGGCAGCCTATAAGTCCAGTAGGAAAATGAGTTAGGGACTTTTGGCTTTTCATTTTCGCGTGACTGCGTTCGTGGCCAACCAAGTCTAGCAGAGCTGAATGTCTACAGTGGCACCTGCGACATCAGCTGTGTGAGGCAGCCATAGCCCGCCTAGCTGAGACAGCCATAGCTGGGGCTGTACTCAGCGCATCTATCCCCAGGGGATATCTGCGTTTGGCAGGACTATCGGAGGGTCTTCACTGGGTACATGTGGGTACTGCTGCTGCGGTAGCAGCCTGGCAGCCATAGCTGCCTTCTTCATTGTCAGAGTGACTCATCGGCACTGGGGACTACATTGCTGTTCAGGATCTTCCTCTGGGTGTATGGCGCTGGCCTCGGGGAGGCTGTTTCAGTACAGCGCTAGACTCTGAGAGTGGAGTAGTGAGTGGAGTGTGTGGTACTGGGGTGGCGAGACACTGGGTTAAACTCTGAAACGATAATTGAGGTTAATTGTGTCGAGTTGGCTCATCATCTGGGTTACTTTCCAATTGTGATCTTCGCAGTGTCATATTGTGATTGGTTGTTGGGAGTTCGTCAGAGAGAGAGAAACACTGCTTGTATTCTCCCTTCTGTGCATGGTTGCTATTCCGCTGTTTATCTCTGATCTGTGTGCAGTTGGACTCTGTCTCCTCCTCCCCTTGGTCTCATGCATGTATGGGCGTGTGTGAGTTCTTCTGTGTGTGAGTGGCAAGTAAATTGTCAAACAACCAAGTTCATAACACAGGTCGCGCTCCAAGACTGAAAATTTAAACACATATCTGGACTCTTTATGGACCAGACACATTCTTTACTGATCTACCATTGTGAATGAAAACTCCGGACCATTTCCTGTTCCAGATCCATTTAGGATGTTTCGCAGTGGACGGAGGCATATACCTCACACAAAGAATACATCTCTGCGTGACAAAGTCGCACAGCCAGAAACCGCATGCTTCTGTCCTATTTTTTCGACAACAAGGCATCGAATTCCCTTTCCAGCAGATGGAGCTTTCCCCCGCTAGACTTTAGGCTCTATTTTTATATTTCAAGTTCCCTCCCATCAACGGACGAAAAGAAAGAAAGAAAAAAAGGTATTGAAAAAGTACCTACCAATGGCTTCTGGCAGTCTGAGAAAAGGTACAATTGTTGTTGCCAGCAAATAGCCCAGGATAGGCTTCACAACGAACTGCCCTATATAGCCGAGAGCAATAACATCTAATCGGCGGAATGCGAGCTTAAAGTCATCCAAGCTCAGATTCACTCCCACAGCAAACATAAGGAATCCCAGTGACGGTGCATAATACCTGCAGACAACACGTTAAAAACAAACGAAAAAAAAAAACAAAAGAAAACGAAAAAAACAAAACAAAACAACAACAACAACAACAACAACACAGTTGAGCAATAAGACTTCAAAAGAAAAGAAAAGAAAAAAACAACAGCAGCCATCACAGTTTCAAGTTCTCTCCCACCATCACGCCTAGGGTAGTAATTTGGTGACACACCTCTACAATGTCACGACATTTCGTTCTGAGGAATTGTTGGGGCGGAGCGCAAGGCGGATGGAAACAGGAAGACGAAGGCGAAAGAGAAAACAGCGGAAGGGAGGAAGCGAAGGGGAACGGGAACGGGAAGGGAACAGGAACAAGAAGACGAAGACGACGGCGACGACAACGACGACGACGAAGAAGAAGAAGAAGAAGGTGAGAAAAAAGGGCAACCAAATGAGGAAGGGGAAGAGGAAGAGGAACGAAGAGGAAGAGGAAAAAGAATGAAGGGGGGGGAGGGGAGGGGGAAGGAGAAGGAGAAGAAGGGGAGAAAGACAGAGTAACTAGTAGTAGTAGAAGAAGAAGAAGAACCAAACGCGGAAGGGGAAGACGAAGAGGAACGAAGAGGAAGAGGAAAAAGAATGAAGGGGGGGGGAGAGGAGGGGGAAGGAGAAGGAGAAGAAGGGGAGAAAGAAGGAGTTACTAGAAGAAGAAGAAGAAGAAGAAGAAGAAGAAGAAGAAGAAGAAGAAGAAGAAGAAGAAGAAGAAGAAGAAGAAGAAGAAGAAGGAGGAGAAGAAGAAGAAGAAGAAGAAGAAGGTTAATTGCATTGCCCTTCAACATTTCACAAGAGGACTTTCCAGAAAAACAATTGC